TAATTCGCACTTTTTGTTGAATAATATAAGTTAGAGGCTGACGAAATAAAGAATTACCATGTTAATTTTTCTGCCACAAAAACATTGCAAGGATGGTCCTGCGAGCGCGTTCCATTCAAATTAAATTGGCCTCGTTTTGGTTACTAACTAAACTCCGACGATTTATAGTAGTAAAATTTCTGGCCCTTCAGGATACGCTAAGGTGTCTAATTGTCCGTACTACTAGATCTTACATTGTAACTTTTCTTCAATAGTTGTTCTCTCATTTTTTCGCAAGAAACCGTTGGCTATTTTGAAAAAAATTAACACGGTCCAGAAACTGATGTTTATGGTTTTGAGTTCTTCGTTCAATAATATGATTTTAAAATAATAAAAAATAAAAGTAATTTTAACGGCCGAAAATTTTTTTTTTTAATGATGAAACCTGTTTTTATACATTTTGATAAACACTTTATAAGAGACAATAGGACATATATTGTAAGAACAAAACTACAAAATGCCTATATTCTCGTTTGTAAGTAAATAAATACGCACAAATAAAAATAACCTTATTCACAATAAGATCTATTCAGTAATTTCTCAATACCTCCATTTTTTAATTATGACAGCAGCATTTGGCTTCTTGTACGTTTTAAAATAATGGACAACAAAATACCTATGTTCTGCCTAGTTTACTGTGATAGTAAAATAAAAACATGCGTAATTTTTTTATATTCGAAATGTCCACTGGAGGCGCTGTACAATATAAATTTTCAAAACACCTTTTGGAGTCGCTCAACAATTGTCATTTTAAACTTATGGTAAAGGCACCAGGGTCTGTCCTTTTAATGTTAAATATCATTATTGCACATTAAACAAGAAACTCGTCAGCCTTGAATACAAACTGACTTTATAACTATAAAATAGTTAAAGGTGTAATAGTAATATTATCGAATGGTAAATAATATAAAAGTACATACATAAATAGATGTAGGCATTACCCTGGGATATTGAATTGGTATTTATATTAAAAATGAAAAAGTTTCTACTCGTTTTTCATTATTAGCCCCACAGAACAATAAATACAGTAGAAGTGGTTAGCATCTGACGCGTGTCTGCTCTAACTATAGGTCTCGAAAGACCTATCTGAGTTCAGTCCGCCATTTTCTCTTTCTAAGGTATAGTCTAGTCATTATTTCGTGCAAATTCTCTAAAATCCTAGAAATATGCCTTATTGTGTTGTTTTGGAGTGCAGAATTAATAGCCGCACTAAAGATTATTACCCGTGGTAGTATTTCATATCATCAGTAAGCCCTACTTTAATAAATTTTCAATTTTTTTGTTTATTAAAATAACTTTTTTGTTACAAGAAACGAAAGTAAAGTTTATACCGCTTTTACCCCTGTAATATGGTCGCTTCTTTTTTTGGAAAACTAAATAACTCAATTCGTCGTCGGTCAGCAATTAACCGCTAGATGGCAGTATATTAATTAAAATTACCATTATAATATCAAAACGTCGTAAGTTGCAATAATAGGTATTGATTCTATTGAACTTTCAAGGATATGCCAACAAGGTAAAGTTTAAATGATATTAACAATCCTGAATTTATTTCTTTTTAAATTTGAAACTACGACCAATCAATATCAAGATTTTGTTTGGCGACATCGGTTCTGATAGTAATCGAGGCTTGAGGCACTTCAGCGTGCTGATTTTGGTTCAAATTGGAGAAGATCCGATCGGGTAGTCTCGAATGGGTTTCTGAGCGAGAAGATGAACCTGATTCCTACTATATCTTTCTAATTTGTGAGTTAAATCTTCCGATTAAAAATGTCAAGTTTCCGATCGGCCAGTTGTGAAACGCAATTATGCGCCTCGACTCGGAAAAGACGCAGTTTCCGATAGGGAGGCAATCAACATCAAGCTGCCGTTGTGTTTTTTCGATTAACCCCCATCCCAGCAAGCTAAGCGTATATTATGGCGTTGGCAACCCGGTAGCATTATTATTTCAGTTTGACATAATTTGCTGACTTACAGCAACACTGACTGTCTGTCGAAAGTTTGACAGTTAATTCAAATTCAAAATAATCTTTATTTCATAGGTAAGCATTATTACACTTGAAATCGTCACAGTGGTTAAACTCTACCGCTCATTCGTAAGGCAGATTCCCCTGAGAAGAATGAGCAAGAAACTCTAGGGGTTGCTCTTTGTAAATAGCATTTACAATATTTTTTTATTTTTATTTCAAACATCAGAGATCGAGACTACCTCCATGAGCTAAACGGGTTACTAACACGGATTTTTGTCATCGAAGTATGCAGAAGTTGTATAATCCTTTAGTATAAAGTTTTTGTTTCACTATAGTTTTAAGCCTTGTGAAAGGCAAATTTTGTATATCAACCGGAATCTTGTTATAGAAGCGTATACATTGCCCCTTAAAATGATTTTTCGACTTTGTGAAGACGACTATCAAGAAAAGCTAGTTTATTTTTATTCCTCGTATTAAAGTAATGTCTGTCACTATTTTTCATAAAGAAATTACGTATTCCTTTGAACATAAATTAAATTTTCATAAATGTACTGTGAGGCTAGTGTAAGAATGTTAATTTCCTTAAACTTATCTCTCAAAGATACTTTGGGGCCCACATTGTAAATTGCCCTAACTACACGTTTCTGCAGGACAAAGAAATTAGTAAACAGTGGATTCAATGGCAGCAATGTCTGTCAAAAGTTTCACATTTTATACGATATTGCTATATTATGCAACAACACAGAGCTGGAATTTAAAAAATTAATGCCACTAGTACAGGGTCAAGAGCACTTCTGACACAAGATTTAAATTCAACTATATAACTTGATGCAAACAAACAAAAAACAAGCTTGATGTGCTCTTGACTGTATTTAGATAATGTTGATGCTACCGGGTTGTCCTTGGTTTTTGCCATTAATGTTGGTTCGCGTTACACCGAGGCATGCGCCGGTCGTGGCACAGTAAAAAGTTCCATATTATGCTTTTTTTTTAACTGACTTTAAAAAAGGAGGAGGTTCTCAATTCGACTGTGATTTTTTTATACGTATCTATGTTACATCCGACTTTGTGAACCGATTTTGATGATTCTTTCTTTGTTGGAAAGAGGGTACCTCAGTGGTGTTCCCATTGAAATTTGAAGAAAATGCTCCACCTCTGAGGGTCGCAAACTAGGGGATAAATCCGGTTTCGCAAACTTTCCGATAACCGATTTCAATAAAACTTGGCAATAGTATATTATATTCCACTAAATTTTGAGGTCGGTTTTTTAGTACTTTGTATTGAGATTATATATGAACTAATTCATGTTAGACCGATTGGTCGTGATCCGGCCGGGGCACGAACTCGGCCCGGTCTAACATGACTAGCTCATACAAAAGCATAATATAATTGACCGTGTCACGGTCGGCGCACACCCCGGCCCTGAAACGGCCGGCACACGACCCGGCCCCGGCAGGGTATAACGTCAATTAGCCTTATGCTTATTACGCATCCCTTATTGCAGTGTGACCATAGTCGAATTTTTTAAATTTGATTAGTCGGGTAAAAAGTCGTCATGTAGTCGGTTTATGTCGCAAAAAACTAGAATTTTTTACTTAGATTTGTATTTTCCAGCGTAATTTGCATATGAAAATACTCCATTGATCATATCAAGTTAACATAGAAAATAAAACCGTCGATTCTGAACTTCCAACTTCCTTTATTAAGTTTAGTAACATTAAAATAAAACAAAACATATTTCCAGATAATTTTGTTTTTAAATTTATGACTAGAAAAAACACACCACATACAAAATGTTATATGTATATTAAATCTTACTTCAGAGTGAGCTTATGTCTAAAAAATTAAGTTTATTAAACAACACGCTTAAAACACACACGAGTAAGGGGTGGCAATATAACGCGTGCTGCCACGAACTGCGTCACAACTCCCGACTCCTAGTGTAGCTGGCGTACAGCCAGCACGTTTTATATTTTGCAATTACGATGCCGTTGTAATGCAGCTAGTATGATGACACCTTTAGGTTGTCAAATTTCAATAATTATGTTGCAAAACAAACGTGTCATCTTTTGAAAATTCGGAGAGAAACAATAACAAAATTTACCTTAGTTATTCGAGAAATTCACCCTAAGGGCGCGTTCATTATGTCGTAACGTTTTATTTATCGTTCGACGACTGTTGCGTCTAGCCTGTTCCCATATCACGACTATCTGTCGTGACTGTGTCGTGGACGTTTATTTTATCAATATATATTTGAAGCTGCGATTATCTGTCGTCATATTTTTATCGTGACGTTTTATTTACTGTCGTCCTAGCTCTTCCCAATGTCACGACAGTCTGTCGTTGCAACGTGAAAATAGTCGTGAACGACAGTTAATCGTGTTGTACTATATGTGAAAAACTTCATTTAAATATACAAGCCCTGACACTTTAAACTGCACGAATGTCTGTCGTCACGAAATAATGAAAACGCAGCAATCTAAAGTTCCTGTGAATCTGTCTCTTTAATTTTGCCAATAACCGGATTGATATTAGGTTATATAGGGTTGGCAAAACACATTTCATCATGCTGTGTATATGCAGGTCGTCTAAAATTATGGAGAATAATAATAGTTTATGTTTAGGCAAAAATCCGTTTGGATTCCGATTTACAACTCGTAATATTGTCAAATCATTTGAATCGCCATTTCTCTGTCACAGCTAATGCTAATGCATACTTGTTATTTCCCACGATGCAAGAAACCGAATAACAGGATAACAACAGCAGGTTATTTAGTTGTTTGGTAATGAGTTATTACGTAAGAATAATGCATTACATTATTTGTTAATGTAAGAGTGGGGCTACACTAAGGTTAATATCTAAAGCCCATTATCGCAATAATTGAGGCTTAAAAATACTGCCTAAAATATCGCTTGAAATAGAATAGCTACGCCAGGATTTAAGGTCGAATGCTAATAAATTATGCGTTGAAAATATAATTCGAAGATGGAGGTTGAAGCTGCTTCGTTATGTTATTTCATTAGTGTTAATTATTTAATATGAATATTTTGCATTTGACAGAAACAAAACCAATAGTATAGACATGGTTCAATTTGAAACAATTGGAGAAACTCGAGCTCGCATTTGACCACTCCGTACTTGAATCGTCGTCGAGCGACACGTGCAATCCTGTTGCGCTCATGCTGCACACTATAATGTCAGTGTGGCTACTACACGCATTACATAACGCAGTAAATCTCTTTAATGTGCCAAAAAAACCACCACCCGGTCGTCTAATGCGTAAATACCACAGTGAATGCTGTAATAAAATTATCGCGATAGGTCGTGGCTACACTTACGCTTAGGCTCAAATTATATTGCAGCGGAACGGAATGGAAGCGAATTTTTGCAATGATATTGTGCATAGCGTAATGAACTTTATAGTCATTTGTGTAACGTACAAACTAGATGTTAGCAGCAACACCTAGTGAGCCTTTGCTAACACTACGCCGCGGCACTGTGTCGCGTAGTCTTATGTCAGTTACTTAGTGAACTAGACAGCCACCCAGTTCTGTGGCCGCTCGCTAAATGGCGATAGTAAAATAGTCTATAATAGTGTATGTCCAAGGCGTCAGAGGGCGCTATAGTTTACAAGTCAAATTGCAAATCCAGTGCGTTCTCTTTACACGATCACCACACGAAATTACAGCTGCGTTTTATTTCCTCGTCTACCAAGACCCAAGGTTTAACACTATAGATACGAGCCAAAAATCACGTCTCATGTCTTCCGCGGAATTCACGCGCATGCTCGAGAATGCTTGCACATTCGCCAGAATTTCGCAGCTGCTGTGAAGTGGCGCGGAGGCAGGCGCAGTATACCGTCAAACCTTGACGAAATACTTCAGCCTCTAGTCGCGAAATTGCCGCTTCCGTTCCACAGCAATGTAAATTGAGCCTTAGTCTCGATTAATGCGATAATTTAATGCCATTAAACTTTAGTGTGGCCGCAGTATGACACTGACCACCTCTAGTCGGGAAAGACGCGATATTTCTGTGAACATTATTGTTTTAGTTTATAGCTAAGAGCCCTTACGAGTGGCACTGAACAGGTCAACAGTAGCTTTGCTAACACTGCCGTTGTAGCTTTGCACGTGGCCTTCTCGTATAGTCGAGATTTCTCCTGAACTAGGCAACCCGTTTCTGACTGCTGGAACTTTTTTCTCGTTGAGTGGTGGCAAATTTAATGGCGGCAACCGTAGAGATGACGGCGGGGATTCTGCTGCATCTAAAAAAAAAGCAATTCACCACACTCATCTACACGGGTATTTAGTCAAGTATCAAAAAGGTCACGCGTACAGTGCCTATTTACTCCCAACATGTTGCATACCAATTTGTATATTTATGCGCCCTGAGGGTCCATGAACTACACGTGAAAAAGCCCTGACCTACCTGCTGCCACCTTACCTATTTCTGCCGCCAAGCGGTTATGTGAGCGTTACTGCGTTCCGGTTTGGAAGTGTAAGGGTGCTGGTGAAATTATAGACACATGGGACTTATCAACTTGTCTCAAGGTGATGGGCGCAGTGGCTGTGCCCCTCAGATCTTCGCGATTTATAGCTCTGAGTGACACTGCAACTGTTATGGATAGGCATGTCGCTTACTACAAGGCGCAAGATTTGTTCGTCTCGTGACTTGGCATTATAAAAAATAATAATAAAAAAACATGATATCGCATTAATCCGGTTAAAAAACCCTTTATGTTTGTGTAATAAGAGCGAAAACGATGTTCTGCGTTTCGCGTTTACAGTCCGAACGTATTTTTCGCTCTTTTGCTTGGACATAAAGCTGGCTAATGATGGCCATTTTCCAATAAGCGATTAGCCGCGGGCGGCTGGCCAAGCGCGACTCTGTTTTAATTAATTAATCAAAATTATTTACGCAATTAAAAGCAAATTTAGCAAGACAACCAATATTGGCAATTTGTGTACCTTACACCGTACTGTTCGATCCTAGTACACAAATTAATGCAAATTTTTTCGCAGATTGTCTAATGGCCTGCTGTACGTACCTTCGCTGTCTTTCTTCATCTGCATAGCAATAACGCTAGGCCCTTTGGCGAGAGACCACGTCGGCACATCTCTTTTTATTGGTTCTAGGATTCTTCTAGACCTGAAAAAAAATAGAAATGACGTGAAAATAACCCGCCATTTTAAAAAATTTTAAAAATTGTGATCACGGGTTAACTATTCTGCAGCGTATCAGGTATGTTTGCTGAGACGCGTGTTGATACTAGAAAAGGTCAAATAATACATTTCATTTGTATTATTGGTGTATTATTGGATTTGTATTACAGGTGTGTAATGAAAGATATAACAATATGATTAGGTAACACATAATAAACTAATTGTAGGTATAAGTATTACCAGTATAATTTATTAAATAATGTAACACATTACTTCGTTTTTCAAACAGTTGAAGCGCTTAAGTGAATAAATAATCTTCTATTATTTCCTCACATTTTTGAGAAAAGCACTATATAAGCCTCGGCGGGAACGGGGATTGCTTGACTCGTATTAATACACAGCCTCGCTATGGCACTCGGCCATGTAACTCATACTCGTCCAGTAATCCCCGACTTCCCGGCCTCTACATAATGTATTTACTTAATAATTACGAACCCTGACTCTGAGACTCTGAAAAACATACCTCAAAATACTAGGCAATTCACTTCTATCAGAATTCATACTCTCCGTGTGCAAGCTTTCAGTGACAATACTCGAGTCGGAATTTTCATATCTCTCATGTCGCCCTACATTTTTCTCGTTCTCAATTTTAGCCATCTGGCTTTCCACTGTAAATACTTCTTTATTATCATTGAGATATGGCTTAATATCGTCCGAGTTGTTTGTTTCCGTGCTGTCTTGTTGTAGAAGGGCCTTTTGCGATGAACCGTTGAGTCTTGGCGTTTGTTCTAAAGAAAGCGGTGGAGCTGTGGCCATGTATTCGTTGTACATGTTTCCGATTAATTCTTCTGTGCGTCTGAAATAAATAATAATTGTTTTGGTCGTTAATAAGCGTTAGGGGGAAGCGGGGCAGTTTGATACAGGGGGCACAGTCATACACCTGCATTATCTCCATACCCTCAAACATAATATTGGTTGTGATAATACTAGATGCTGCCTTTGTATGTGTAACTAATAGCGTGCGATGTAACATAACAAGGGTCTTAATAGAGGGTAAACTAGTGTTTTCAATAACTAGAATTACATGTGGCTTTAGAGAATATATAAAATTTTTTTTAACAAATATTTTTTGTTTTTTCAAACAAACAAACGTTTCGGGACCTTTATAGATATACGCAATTTAAATCCGGAAAAATAGCTTCATTTCCTATGTATAACAATCGCGAAAACTTAAAGAACTCGATAAATATTTTTTTCTAAACTGGCGGGTGGGCTACTTTTACACATTAGTGAGTGGGGCAATTTGGTACGTACCAAAGTTCTCTTAATAGTTATTTTGTACGAAAAATGTAAAACTGTTTCAACAAGTTATAGTAAAGAGGTGAACTAGTGACATTTTGCGCTGTAGTCAGCTCTTCCTCATGTATTTCTACTTCCAAGACTACATTACAAAGAACACTTTCCAAATGGTGCCCTAGAAAGAAGTCTTGATCTAGGAAGTACCGAGACACATTTAGCATCATAAGTAATGATTCACCTAGTGCTGATAATACGTGGCAATCAGAAATAGCATACTATGTTGATTCACACATCTAAGTGCCCTAAGCGACGTATCAAAGTACCCTCATTTAGGGCAGAATTGGACATCTCAGTTTTTGTTAAAATCAAAATTTTTCAATTATTCAATGCTATTTAAAAAAGGAAAAAAGAAAAGAAAGAAAGAAAAGATTAAATTAGTAATGTTTATTAGTTATATCATGAATTAGGTAGAAAAAATATCGACGAATCTGCCCCGCTTCTCCCTACACTACAAACTAACAACAAATGTGACGAAAAAACGCAGTGGAAAGTACGCGTAGGTTATCCTGCTCGATCAAGACAAAGTACTTAGTAACCCCTATATTTCGACTTGGTATTTTTTTACATATTCTTATTAGTCAATAGTCAAAACTACTTTAGTATACATAACCTAGTCATTTTTTAAAATGACTAGGTTATGTAGACTGTAGACTGTCAAAATAACTTCTCTATTTTGGTCGAAATAACTTGGTTACTTAGTCCAAATAACCTAGTTATTTTAGTCAAGATAACCACGTTATTTTAGTCAATCAATATAACATGCACATTTTATCGAGTTCTTAGGTTTTCGCGATTGTTACACATAGGAAATGAAACTATTTTTCCGGATTTAAATCGCGTATATTTGTTTTTTCAAACAAACCGACGTTTGGGTTGGGTTTGGGTCCCATGGGACCCATGGGATCTGTAAAGGGCCCGAAACGTCGGTTTGTTTGAAAAAACAAATATACGCGATTTAAATCCGGAAAAATAGTTTCATTTCCTATGCACATTTTAGTCAAAAGCCTTGCTACTTTAGTCGAGATAACCAAATCATTTTCGTCAAAATAATCTCCGGTCAAAATAACTTCGTTCATTATTTTGATTAAGCGACACGCTCGAATTAATTTTTTTTACGTACTATAAGGTTAATTTTGCTTAGGTCGAGAGCTGAGACAAAGTGGCAGCGGTAACAGCCTCCTGAAGACAATTGCAGTTAGGTGTGAGTGTCCCATAATGCGGCATCTCATTAATAATACAAAATCTGTTCTAGAATTTAAGTACTAACCTAATTATAAGTTTCATTGTTGCTAACACTTATGGATCCTAGTTATCTGAATAAATGAATTTGAATTTGAATTTGAATGGCTTTATTTCGAATGTATTTTTTTACAAACGAAATTAAAGCCAATCAAATCCATTCCAATCCAACGAAATCCAATCCAATCCAACGAAATCCATTCCAATCCAATGAAATCAATCAAAGACTCTTAAATAGTTTAAGTTTTAGTATTTAATTAATAACTATTGTAACTGTAGTGAAAAAATAGGGTGGTTTGCATTAATATTAGACATAACTGGTTGAAGACTGTACCACCTCAGTCAACCGTGACCATGGGACCTGTAAAGGGCCCGAAACGTCGGTTTGTTTGAAAAAACAAATATACGCGATTTAAATCCGGAAAAATAGTTTCATTTCCTATCTTAAATAGTTGTTAAAACAGCTTTTCCTTGTTACAATGTGGTAGACAATTGAACTTAAACAGCCTGGCATGTTCAACAGACACTGCATACTGACCTAGTGAGTGGTATGATGACAGTCTGAGGTACTCCGTTTCCTGGATGATACGCGTTGTGGCCGAAGCTGTCTAAGGTTGTGTTGCCGGTTACTTCCATTATACCTATCTGTGTTGTTCGTACGTGGTAAGGAAAATTTTTGTTCGCGAACACCGGGAGAGTAAGTAGCTAAAACATATAATAAGAAATAAAGTGACAAAAGATATATAGCGTAATTTGTAAAATATTAACAACCTGGCGAACCTATATAACTAACTTCATAAATAACTACTTTTGTTCCGTGACATTTTACAAAACAATAAATTTACTTAAAAGTTTACTTTGTTTTTGTTGTATTATCTGACCCTCTTTATACCTGTGTTGGGTACTAAATAATAAATTAATATTTACTAAAGAAAATTAAACATTGTTTCTAAAAATTGGGCGCTTTCAAATTAGCGCTTATAACTTCTAGAAGCATTGCAGTGGCGCCATAGCCGCGCATCTGTAGCGCTTCAGTAATTTTTACAGTGATTTTGACAGTGACTCTTCCAAATATTGTATGAAAATTAGAAGTGGCACGGTTGCACCGCCACTGTGGTGTCACTGTACCGCTTCTACAAGCGTTAAATTTGAAGGCGCTCTAACTGACGTAGTATTAATATAAGTAATAATAATAATTATTAAAACATTTACCAAGAACATGATGTGGCCACTGAAAGTTATAAACAATAGTACTGCCGTTACAACGCTCTCTCTCACCCACTTGTCTGGAACAAAAATGTAAAGTTTTTTAAAGCTTTTTTAATAATATAAAGCGAAGGGACGCACATGTCGTGCGCCTGTTGGTAAGCGACATGACAATTGCAGTGTCACTTAGAGCTTTAAATCTGGATTTAAAGAAGGATCTAAGTTTAAATAAAACTCAGTGTTCCATCTTAACTAGTGGATTAATTTCACAAAAAAATATCGAATATTGTTATAGTAAACCATAGTGATATCCAGTAAACTTAAAATTACGATTATTAAAGACTCCTCTAGTCAGCTGCTGGTAGCTGTAAAGGTACGGCTGAGTGAGAAAAACTTTCATATATTTCTCACAGATGGCGCTATGGGAAGAAAATCGGTAAAATCCAAGAATAAAGATCTGGGGGGCACTGACACAGCACCCGTCAACCTGGAACATAAGTTGACAAGTCCCATGTGCCTGTAATTTCATCAGCACCGTTATCCTTCAAAAGCGGAACGCAGTAATGCTTACATTACCGCTTGGTGGCAGAGATAGGTAAAGTGGCTGTAGTTCCTTGGACGAATTCTTTCACAAAGAGCTCTATGGCCACTAAAGTTCTAGTTCCCGAAATTTAAATAATACGTTCATTTGACGTAATTCAATGTAAATATTTTAAAAACTTACCAATATAATTAGTAGCTGTGATAATGAAAAGAGGTCCCGCATAAAACCACAGTGTGCCACAAATGAAGAACGGGCAGTAGAACATGTTCTGTAAACAATGGTTTGTTTAATAATTTAACTGGATATTGACAAGCAGGTATGGTTTGGAAATGTGTTGCTGGAGAAGAATGCTAATGGGTATCGTGGATAGAATTTCGCTCCTACGGTCTGTTTGTATAATACGTTCAGGAGAAGTCGTCTTCTCAGGTCAGCAGTTTGATTAGAACTGCCCTCGTCGTCTTTTATCCAAAACAATCTGTCTAATTTTGAATTTGTCAGTTTGGTTAGTCTGTTTTTGTGGCCAGTCAGTCTGCTGATCATCCACGAATGCTGGACTCGACATTCTTCCTCTTCGTTCAATTTGCACAGTCTCGTCTTGGTCGTTTGTAGATTCGAGTCTTTGGCGATCGAACACTGGGCATCCTCATTGTCCCCCCGCCAGTTGATCGTCCACGCGTACGATCACAACGTCCCCAATAGCTAGGGGCTTGTCAGAATGTCGGAATCACTTATGTCGCCTATTAAGGATGAGCAAATATTCTCTTACTAATTGGTTCCAAGTGAGGTCTGCGAGAAACTTCCACCAATACACCAAAAGCTCTATATCAAACAGCATCTATCTCTTCAGGTACGAACTCACATCCTGAAATTCTTCGTCTGTTTCGTCTCAAAGCAGTATAGTTTTTTTTTAACTATCACACCTATCCCTAACAGTTGCAGGCTCCTTAGGGGCACTGCCACTCTGCGTCCGTCACCATGAGACATAAGTTGGCAAGTTCCATGTACGTGTAATTTCAACAGCACCCTTACCCTTCCAAACTAGAACGCAATCGCATTACTGCTTGGCAGCAGAAATAGGTAAGGTGGCAGTACTTCCCTGGACGAACTCTTTCACAAGGAGCTCTACTGCTACAAAAATGTGACTCCATAGAGCCTCATGTGGTGTGCCACCAGTCATAAACATCGACCCATTATACATCCTATTACTGGGCACGGATCCCTCTTGGGTCGGTGATGGACCCTTTGTACGTTTTCCAGGTGCCGTGAACATTCTGCGACATGGAAGTTTCATCACGCTGTTTAACGTTAGCAAGTTAAATTAGAAACTTAGAAAAGTCACAGGTACGCATTAACGGATCTTGTTCCGTTGCAGCAAGTTAAGACAGTTAAGAACCCAATGTTCTGTTTGGAGTTGCAACCAGTAAAATCTATACGATTCCTGCAATGGTTAGAGCTGACGTCTCTACAGTTACCTTTTCAGGATACTTCTTAACAGTGAAGAATGTGGAGTAAGCGAAGACACACCAGGCGGTGATTCTGAGCACGATCAGGCCATACCCTGCGGGACTCTCGTAGAGGTACAGTACCTCACCTGGGTCGAAGGCCTGGAAGAAAGATTAGGTGCTGCTTAAATTTAAATACATAATAAAAGTCTATCTTAACATTTCCTGAATGAATCGAGAATGAAATTGAAATTTCATTTTCCTACATTTTTACTTTATTACGTATCAGTGGCGAGACGTGAAAATTTTCTTTAGTGAAGCTGGAGCAAAAAAAAACCACTTGCCTTAACAAGTGGCGCCGTGGCGACAATTAAACACAGCACTTATTAGCACACAAGATACTAGTACACTTTATTTCACTGGTTAATTAACCAGTGATATACCTACGTGTATAATACGTAATTATTCTATACGTAAAATTGAGCACAAAATGTAGTAAATTACTTTGAAATATTTATAATATTTGATACTACGTGGAAAATTTTGGAAAATTTTGGTGGGAATCGAGTTATATGGACGCCTCGCCGCTGTTACCTATTATTCCCTATTTCTATTGTAATTTTCAAATTCCTAACAAATTTTGGCTATATCCTTGTCCTCCTACTGGGTGCTCCAATTGGTAGGAGCACGAGGACTAATATGTCTTTATGCTTCTATCTCACGATATAATAAGTACAATTAACTAGAATAAAAAAAATTGAAAATAAAAAACGTCTAAAATATCTTATTTTTCATAGGTAAGAAGAAAATTGCATTTGAAATCGTCACTTTGCGCTCTTTCGTAAGGCAGATTCCCCTGAGAAGAATGATGAAGAAACTCTAGGGTTGCTCTTTAACATTAATATAGTAATTTAAACAACCTGAAAGAACTAAACGGATCACTAACATGGATTTTTGTCATCCAAGTACCGAAGTTGTACAATAACCTTTAGTATAAATCGAGTTCTTAGGTTTTCGCGATTGTTACACATAGGAAATGAAACTATTTTTCCGGATTTAAATCGCGTATATTTGTTTTTTCAAACAAACCAACGCGTTGGGTCGAAACGTAAATCTGGAAAAATAATTTCATTTCCTTTAGTATAAAGTTTTTCTTTTACTATACTTTTAAACCTTGTAAATGGCAAAGTTTGAAAATTAACCGGAATCTTATATTTTGTATCATCAGATGCCCGTTACTTCATTTTCTTTTCGTTTACGTACTGTTTATTATGCAGGTGACTATTGAAGGACTAAAATGGTTAAGCGTTAATACTAATACAAACAACTTCTTTGAGAACCTTTCGGAAAAAGTTTTTAAACAAAATTATCTTACCCTGGCCTGGTAAACGAAGAGAACGATGTAAGTGACAGTGTAGCAACACATGAAGACCGTCAACTTGACAGTGAAGCCGACTTTAAGGCGACCTCGGGTGATCGTGTAACCCTTCGCCATTAGTGTCAGAAGGAGCAAAAACGTCATTTCGGACACGCCGCAGAAAAATTGACCTGGAAATTAAAGAATAACAATGATAAAACAAAATGGTAATCAAATAGTTAATAATAATAACGCACACACTTATAGCCCCGCACTTGGGAAACTCTGTGTGCTATAGACACACATTGTAGTATGTTTACTTATATTGTATTCTTGTAATTATTATGACCCCTTAATTGTTCTCCATTAGTTATTATTTTAATTTTATTGTATGTTGTTATACCACATCCGCGCAACATCAACCAAGGTTACCAACTGAAAATCAGCGCGGGATGTACTGTGCCCCGCATATGCTGAGGTGGTGACCTATTCGGCGGGGCATGTAGAGTAACATACAATGATTGGTTGTTTTTTGATAAGCATAATTTTTTACTCTGTTTTCTCTTCTTTTTTCGTCAAGTTATTATATAGATAAATGATGTTCCTATTTCTATTTCTACATACAGACAATTGCAAATTACACCTAACTTAACGGGGGAAATAGTAGTAGGCCATGCAAATCTTTCTCCCAGCCCAGGAATCGAACCCGAGACCTCTGCATGGCAGACCAAGCTGGTAACTGTTAGGCCACCGAGGCAGTTAATAACAAAACATAATATATCGAGTTCTTAGGTTTTCGCGATTGTTACACATAGGAAATGAAACTATTTTTCCGGATTTAGCTCGCGTATATTTGTTTTTTCAAACAAACCGACGTTTCGGGCCCTTTACAGGTCCCATGGTCACGGTTGACTGTCCTGTAAAGGACCCGAAACGTCGATTTGTTTGAAAAAACAAATATACGCGATTTAAATCCGGAAAAATAGTTTCATTTCCTAAACAAAACACATAGCTTTTTCTGATCGGTTTATGCCAATTCTGCATCAATGTCAAGGCAATTCACAAGTTATTACTTAAGGTAGGTTATTCCTTGGGGTACACTGCACACATTAGCTTGGTGCAGCAAGTGAGCAGCTAGTTACAGATGAAGACTGAAAATCAGCAATGCCGAGTCTTTAACCTTTTTGTCCACATCACTCAATTGTATTTTCTATTAGTTTTCAAGTATTCTGATTCCTATGTGTCGTGGAAACTTAAATATATTTTAATTTTATTTTTTGTTTAATAATTCTCACTAGTTCATTTTGATGGAGCTCTTTCGTTACACCGATTGTTCTCCTTTTATTTACACAAAACCTGTTCAAAGAAACTTACCAACTGTTTTGGGTCCAAACTGCTCCACTCCTGTAGTAGCATATCGAATATATCCCAAACTTTGAATCACTACACCTGCGTGCTGCGCCACTATCGATATTAGGAATAGTTTGTACGTCGAATGTAATAAGTGCCGTGATTTGAGCTCCACGCTGCTCATCACTACTGCTATCATGACTATTACGTACGCTAGAGTGTACGATAAAAGGATCGGTAGGACATCTGTGAGTAAAAACATAAGAACACATTACATACTCATAATAATCTTAGTACAGAGTACTAAAAAACCGACCTCAAAAGTCGTTAATTCCCTAGTTTGCCACTCTTAGAGGTGCAATATTTTCTTCAAATTTAAATGGGACGACTTTTGAGGTCTCCCCTTCCCAACAAAAAAAGAATAATCAAAATCAGTTCACAAACGTCTTAGTTATCCCGTAACATAGATACAAAAAAATATCATTTTTTTGAAGCTGGTTAAAAATAGGCACGATTTGATTTCATACTACTGCTACTTAGGTATACCTCTATGCTACAGTTATTTGCCATTAATCGAGGGGAGGACTCTATTGACGACTTATACGTGTAGATTTCAGTTCTTATCATGTTACATGCTACTTATTTAAATATGTAACATTTAAGTCGATATGTTTTAACATCGATTCTGATTTCACTGTTTGTGTCCCATCCGCTTTTTTTTAAATTTAACCTTATATTAAAGTCCAATCTTTCTTGCGTGTATAAAAGAAATATTTTGTAACTTTTCTGATTTAGATAATTTATTTTTTCTTTGCCCTAAGTTTAATTTTATAAGGTTTTCTGTTCATAGCGAAATGTAAAGAAGCTCTAAAAATTTGTTATTGTCAATGTCCCAGAACTATTCAAGAGCCTTTGAAACATTTAGGATTGTACAGACATATTATTATTTCATAATTGAAAGGTTTTTTACTTCAATTAATTTATTTTTCGTTTAGTAAATCCTTTTAAAATTAGTTTAGGTTGAATGCCTTGTTGCCAATAAAATATAAAAAAAGGATAATTAGGAAAATTGGGTATTTAAATGGCAACACTCTTTAATTTTAGAGATTCATATAATAAAAGAAAAATTCATCAAGGTTTGGTTGTAAAGTTTTTTAGGCGACATGCCTGTCCATACACACAGCGCCACTTACAGCTTTAAACCGCAAAGACGGGCACCGCCACTACATCCGTCACCCTGAGACATAAGGTGACAAGTCCCATGTGCCTGCAATTTCACCAGCACCCTTCTAAACTTTAACGCAGTAATGCTCACATTCCTGCTTGGCGGCAGAAGTAGGTCAGGTGTCAGTACTTCCCTGGACGAACTCTTTCACAAGGAGCTGGTACTACTAGTAAGTATTTAAAACTTTGTCTTTACGGAAAGAACGAAAAAACATTAGTTTTGACATTGCCTGTTACAAATATTACATACCTTTACTTTGTGAGTATTACTCTCAGAGGATGAAAAAAAAATGTATTACTACAGTCGATGTACTGGACAAATGTCACTGGAAACTCATGGTAGAGGTATTGGTGTAACGCAGGGTTTCCCAAACATTGGTCTGCCATGGCCCGGTAATTTTCATATTGCTTCTTCGTGACCCACTCAATACTTTTAAACCCAAGCTGGTTACATTACAAGTAAAATAGTACGCGTTTATTGTTAGTAAAAATGTTTTACTAATATTATTTAGATATCGCCTATTTAGTACGAAGTATGGAGCTGCTGCTTATTTTCTACTAAAGAATCCAAGTTCGCCGGAAAATGACGAAAGTTTTATCCTGTGGTATGGATCCACTTCAACAAGGCGGGAATGTTGCGACCTTAGAATAATAACGCATAGAAACCTAGTCCGCACACGCTAAGTGAGGCAAATTGAAGCGCTCCCAAAGGGCCTACACGAGCGGGCGGGCCGTCAGTGCTTAAGGTCAACTTGCACCGCGAACAGCTCAAGAATTTTAGCTAAAAATGACGAAATGGGCGGTAAATGAGTGTAAAAATACGTCAGACAAACATAAAATAGATACTAACATCACATTCCACAAGGAAGTAACGCGTTTCAACTTGTATTTTTATATAAATATTCACTAAAACCGAAAATTAACCTACTACTAAAACTAGCCTACATGAATTTGATTTTTGCCTCACTTGTGACAGTTTGATATGAAACTATCATTCTATGTGTTATTATATAGACCGGTAATAGGTACCGGGTCGCAACCCACCAAATGGGAAACGCTGCTGTAATGTACTTACAAAATTCGTCGGCGGAAAAGTGTTCGTGCCAAAAGTCTCCGTCAGGTCCATTTGTCATTAAAAACTTGTACCTTACATCCAATCCCTGGAATAATCATACTGACAAGTTAACACAGATCGTTAAATATATAAATAAAGAAATTAACATTCTTAAGACTGCGGACAGGATACATTAATGAAGTTATTCACAAACTACCAACCGTGGTGGTACCAAATTGGGTATATATTCGGTGGTGGTTTGTGACTGTAGTTGCGCTAGTTAAGGATGCTGCCTCAGCATCCTCAGATGTTTGTTTTTTAGCACGTTTATTGTTACTTTAATTAGTGTATAAGCTTCATTGTAGTAATACACGAAGTTCTTCTTATACCAGACTTCAGACTATACAATAAACTAGCTCCCTTGAGACTGACTTTTACTTTTCTTTACGTCGCATGTGTTATTTATTTTATGCGGAGGGAAGGTGGGATTATTAGTTGCATGAAAAAATATTTTTAACTATTTTGCACGATTTAACCTTCACTGGGTTCGCGGAGAAGCAAATTAATTTACTTCCATTTTTGTTACTCATCGTATCTAACGTAATCGACATTTTAGCGAACTTGAGTTTGTAACATACCTCGAATCAGTGAAATAAGATCAAGATAATAAAGCAAGATAAATCCAAATTCACCTTATTATTGTCACAATTACTAATAGCTATGAACCACCATCGTTCTCTGGCCGATCTGAACCGTCTAGAGTTATGGCAGGAGACGATAAGTCGTTCAATGTTCTCCTTCGGTTTGCTGAACTCGTTTTGATCGGATTCCGCTTTGAGACGACGCCGCCGAAACCGTTCGTACAGTTCAAAAGTTGACCGTTTTATTTTGTGCTGAAAAAGTAAAAAAGTCTAGAAAAATCACAATCATTTGTCGGTTTCAAACTAGAAGATTTGTACTGTCGAGTCTGTGGAAATTTTTAAAATTTTAGCAGCAGTAGAGCACCTTGTGAAAGAGTTCGTCCAGGGAACTACTGCCACCTTGCCTATTTCTGCCGCCAAGCAGTAATGTTAGTTTTACTTTTGAAGGGTAATAATTACAGGTACATGGGACTTGTCAACTTATGTCTTAGGGTGACGGGTGCAGTGCCCCTCAGATCTTTGAGATTTAAAGAATTTGTCCATAAGGACAGGCTTGTAGCTTACCATCAGGCGCGCAGACTTGTTCGTCCGGTCACTTGATATTATAAAAAAAGTAGAAAGCTTATTTCTCATTTTTTAAGCAAACGATTCAATAGCAACTTACCCCACTATGGTTTTGATCATCAAACAGCAATTCTACATCATTTTTTAAATTATCAAATTGACTACCATTCTTATCCCCACCAATACTCTCCCATAACTCATCTTCCGGCAATATTGTGGTAGTAATATTAAATTCATCAGCTGGCAATTCGTACCAAGTGGTAGAATTTGAGTCTGTAATGGTAGATTTTGGTTTGACAGTTGTTTTTAAAAATTGATCGTAGTACGACGGATCGACGGGTGGGGAGGGCTTTGTTGTGTTTCTTGTTTTTGTTGTTGGCGGTGATTTTGTGGTTGATGTTGATGTTGCTGTTGAAGGCGATGTTGTTGTGCTGTAACGTGAATTCTTTTTTCAAATTATAACGTCACAAAATATTTTAAAAAATTTCAAAGTTCTTAGGATTTCGCGATTTCTACTCACTATAATAATAATAATAACAAAAACGGACACACTCATAGCCCCGCACTAAGGAAACCCTGTACCGCGGATGCCATGGACACACATATGTAGAACAAACACATAACCACAAATTACACACAAATTCACGAGGGAAATAAATGTAGGTCATACAAATATTTCTCCCGGCCCGGGAATCGAACCCAGAACCTCTGCATGGCAGTCCGCCATGGTAACTGTTCAGCAACAGAGGCAGTTAATTTAGAAGTGAAAATATTTTTTTCGGATCTATATTTCGCACGTGACAACTACCATAGTATTATTTTAAAATTGCTTTGAGTTTTATTAATATTACTGTTGTGCTGTTGCTTTGAAATATACGGATGACATGCAAATATAGCGAAATTTTGGAGAAAAATCATTAATATAACGCAATTGTGAGACAAAATATAATTTTCTCAAACATCCTCGTTAATGGTTTGCATTACTTTAAAAACACGGACACGGAAATTTTGTCATTTATGGACCGTGCGACTTCTTCGCGTCCTCTTCTTTAAACTTTTAAATCTACCAATAATGAATTATGGAAACAGGCAAAAGAAAAACTCATACCGCCAACTGCCCAGTGTTCATAATTGCGAGAATTAAAAATGTCTACCTGTACCGCTTAATTAAAAAAAAAAATGGCGGTAACATTTAAATTATCTCTTGGTATTCTTTTGCTTTTTCGTCTTTTTTTGTATTTTGGTCGCGAAAATGAGTGCTAGTGAGAAGAGCAATAACGAAAATACAGTAATAGATACACAATTCAAACACATCATCAGAAGTTCAACATACTACTATTAATGTCCCAGGAAAAACAATATCATTTTCTATTAGCAATTGTATTATATAAATTTTAATGTCAATTAATATTTTTATAAACTTTTGTATTATACATCTTCCTCTCTTTAGTCCTTTATTATTTCCTCGCATTGTTTGAGAAAACCTCTTCTACATGCCTCGGCGGGAACGGGGATTATTTGACTCGTATTAATACATGCAATAATGTACTAATAACGCAATTTTTGAGAAAATACTATGTGTTAGTTGTCAAGTACGATTTGTTTTTTTCTAACAAACCAAAACGTTTCATTGGGGCTATGAATGTGTGCATTATTATTATTATTATGCTATTGTATTATTTCATGCTCTTTACAGATCCCAAGACAAGGCTGTAAATTTACGCAATTTAGATCCGATATAATAGTATCATTTCAAAAAATCTCAAAGACCAAACCCACTTCGATGATCGAAGTTTGATTCGAAGTCAAATTAGAGGTGGGTGATAAATAACGTCACGATGAAAAAATAACACAAACAGTATCACCGTGACTCGTTCCGAAGGAACGACGTTCCAACGTCACATAGGTGTTCCTCCGTTCCAATAGCTATCCCCGTCACTCACATCACGACATACGCATTTGATACAATGCGCGATCTCCGTTCCGTGGTGACTGAGTGCGCCACTCGTTGTAGTTTTCTTCTAATCGGGCCATTTCGGCGATGAGAGTGAGTGAGATAGGATGACTTTCTTTGCTCACTCACAAGGGTCGTAAGTGCTTATTACTACTAGAAAGGGCAGATGAAAAAAATCTGCAGTAGTTACTATAAACCTATTTATTAACAGAGTAAAATATTTTTGTATATTTGTTTTATTATGGGAAGAGTTGATATTTTATATTTATGTATAATCTACTTTGTGTATTCTACTAGAAATATAATTACATTACACTTTATTGCTATTTTTAACAGTCCAAAGGTTCGTATTAAATAAGTAACAAACAAAATGACATTAAATACAAAATCAACTTTTTGAATGGAATTGAAACTTATTACAATGGGAGTAAAAACTTAAAACATTCTATAAAAAACGGCTATAAGTATAAGAAAGAAGCCGCTGGCTACAACCGTATTTCGTGATGTAAGTTACAGGCGTGACAAGGGCACGGAAGTAACAGTCGTGACAAAAAAGTGATAAATCACCGTGATTTTTGTGGAACCGGAACGACGCTAACGCTATTCCCCATGTCTAAGTCAAATAACCGTTTGAAATGAATGAAATATACTCCCCGACACGTAATTCGAGCCACCTCGCAATTTTTGTCTTAAAGGCCTAGAATACAAAAGTAGTGTTATCGTCAAAGAAAATGTTTTCCCCCGGTTTTGCAAATCCAAATTTGCAACAAGGATTTATGGAAAAGATGTTTAGTGAACCTAGTAGTTTCAAAATTGCTTAATAGTTTTTGATCAATCAAACATTGTTTAAGTTTAGGGCATTTAATATTGAATTAAATACTTTTTTCTGACTATTTTAAACCTTTACAACAGAAGGCATTTTAAATTTTTTTTTATAGTTAATATGTAATCAATGTGATATTTTTGAGAAGCTGTTATTGCATGCCAGGGAATTGATATCAATAGTTTCTTTCTGCTTAAATATAAGAAATAAGCCATACTTGGCGCTTACGTTAATAAATATTAACTCCTAACTACTTTACGAACGACTGCATTAAGGCGCTGCGAAAACGTGTCTTGTGTTGGGTTGCGGCAACCAGACACATTCGCGATCGCAATTTGAATTAAAATAGAATATTCGCTTGTAGTTTCCGGTTACTTGCATTAATACAAGACACACGTTTGCGCTGTCCCTAACTGCAATTTTGCAATTGCAATGCTGTAGAAATAGAGCACATGTGACTACACAATAAGTCGGTGGATGTGTTTATAACTTACCTTTTAGAAGCCGGTAGCTCCTTGTTTTCCTTAGTAACTATGCAACCAGAGAATTCAGTGTCAGGGTACCAATGGGACAATTTTATTATTTGATTTTGGCCCGCTTTGTTGAGAACCGCCTCGCGTTCTTTACAAGACTGTAAATATGTAAAACATTGGTATACGTTTTTGTATAAAGTTTTTTGTTTGTCCGAATTTTCCTTGTCTACAGAAATTATAAAGGCTCATTCAGAGTGCAAGCGCGGGTGCGGCGGCGGATGCGGACCCGCGGGCCTTGGCGTCTTCCCTTTCACAGTGCCGACGCGACTAAAATTGTTAGATCCTCACGTCGTAGTTACGAACAGACGCACACACACACACACGTGATATTTTAAAGAGCAATTTAGCACAAATTGTGCATGTTAACAATAATAAATAAATATCTCAGAGACTGTTTGGGTTCGTAAATTATTTGTAAATTACCTTAACAACACGCTTTTACATAAGTAAGCGTAGAATTCTTACCTTTCCACTGTGATAAACGGCAGGCCATTGGCTGGCGTCGTCGTAATACAGCAGTAAGTTTGGAATACCCATGTCTCTATCGAACTCTATCAGATATTCAAACTGACCGTCCAGGGATAGAAAACAGAAGCGCTCTAGAAAAGCCCAATTCTGCAAAAGAAAAGTATACCAGTATAATAAATTAAGTTACTCAGTCGAGTATATAACCTGAAATAGAGATGAGATAAGGGCCATTCATCCCTGGGAACTCATCAGTTAAATGGGCCTTAAATCACTTTTAAATATCAACTC